GTCACCCACCCAACTACTAACCTCCCGGCGTGTGGCTTAAGTACGGCTGAGCGGACGGGAAGCCCTGTTTTCCACACCCTGTGGTCGTATGTGCTGGGATTTCATCCAAAGCAAGTTATATCCAGCGTTGCTCGGCTACAAAGCTACTCACCCCACTCCCACTAGTTATCCAAAGGACCGCGCTGAATCAATAATCGCGGCTTGACTGTATTCCTGAGTGATATCAGATCAGAAATGTGGGCCTGTCGGAACTCTTCAAGGCCGTCTTAAGTCCATGCTACCGCTTCTTAAAAGGTTAACGATTGAAGCTCTCCACGGTTCAGCGAATGTATAAGCTCGAGGTTACATGGAGGGCATCCCATAACCGCATCTCACCTGGTGGGTGACGCCGGATCTTTGCTTTGTATCAAACACTGCATCGACAAGTCTCTTCTGGACTACGGAAAAATGCTGCAGGCATCGGCTGCTCTTAAGCGAAGCACCCGAGCTAAAAGAAAGAGGAAAACAAAGGCAAAAACAATGACCAGACTGGGGCTCGATCCCAGGACCTTATCGGTGTTAACGATACGTGATAACCAACTACACCATCCGGCCAATTGATGAAACATGACTGCTATCATGTCCTTATAATAGGCTACATAACTCAAGTAGGGTTACCGATCGATCTTACATCGTAATCATGACTTTTTCCAAACCTTATTACCGATATTATCGCAAGCAAAAGTTGTTTGTGGTATCAGATCACATAATATGGGTTGAACTCTATGCGCCAACCATCGTTTCAAATTTTAATCGGAATGAGCTTTTATTGATTGACGTACTATTGGACACTGCGGATAAGCATAGATATATATCGATGGATGGATATGGCACGGAGCGCAGATGTAGTTCGGGTATACCTTTGTAACCCGGTAGCGATATACATCAACGAGTATAAGCCGACAACAAGCACAGCACGGGAAATAAAGATGACACTCCGTGCCCTTGCCGGCGTGCAGAATGACATGTCCAAGAAACAGCCAGTCCGACATGTGTTCGTCCCATCTTTCTTGCACTGATCCTACTCGCAGCATAGAGACAATCCACTGCCTTCAAGCAGTATGCAATCATCTGCAACTTCCTTCAAGCAGTGCTCTTCTTAATTGCATGCACTGGGCATCAAGCCTTTCGCTTTTGTTTGTGAGAACGCTCAATTCCAGCCCTCAGCATATCTCAATAAAGCTTCGTCCCTTGACCACAAACTCCCCCACAAGCTCACACCGCATGAGGTACCTTACACATAAATATACTTCATGTTGCATCGTTGGTCAAACGGTTACGATTCTTGTCTTCCAAACAAGCGGCCCGGGTTCGACTCCCGGACGATGCATGGTCAATTTCTTTTTGGCCCCGCCGCTAATTCACCAGCTTCTGATGATCGTGGCTAGCCGACAGAGCGTGCTCAACCCGCTCTCAGGACCGCGCCCTTGTTCTCACTTCCCTTCTGAAATAAGGGGCACGCATATGTAGAGTGATGGGGGACGCGATAGCAACCGGTCCCTGGGATCATACCCTGCGTTCTTTTGAATACGTAGCGAGGACTGATTTATGTCAATGAAAGTCCGTGATCTCGCTCGCCCTCGGGCAGTTCCGAGCCGGGTATCGCCATGGTCTGAAGAGCGCGATTGAACGGTCTCATAGAAATCGTGAAGATCGTCGCGAGGCAAGGCCAGATAGTGTCGTTCTCGGCCAGTGATGCAACCAGCCGTCATCGAAAATGTCTGCCTGCGAGAAGAACCAGGGGGAATTCTCTATTTCCTTCTATATATGAAGGCATCGGTCAGTTTGGACCCCTTAGTACAGCACTCCCCAGTAATCGGCATACCTCCTATTCGACCTTTACCAGTCCAGCTATCAAGGCATCCAGGGAAAGATCCTGGATCGAATGCTTACTGATATGCCGGGCTTGGATGGAGGGGAAAGTGTCGAGTAAGTGAAGGACACGGTGGACCCAGATGGGTGGGAGATGGGTCCTTATAGCGCGGTGCCAACTATGAGTCTCGCACAGGAGGATGCGCTCAGACCGATCCAAATCACGTCAAGATTACCCCATAAGATAACAAGAGAAATTCAAAAGAGATGATAAAGAAGTATGCAGATGCCTGTCGACAGAGGCATCAAGCACAAGAAGATTGGTGGTGGGTCGAGCGCGGACAGGGATCGATGATCATCGTGACGGGACAATAGGACAACTCAGGCAAATCGAGCAAACAGACACCCTCCGACACCTAGGCGGTTGCGCCTCCTATGGCTCGAGCACGTGCAGGGCTTCGATTTCTACTCTGCCCAAGGTTTGATTTTTCGGTCCGTCATCCGATCCCCGTCAAGGTTGAAATGATCGTGTTACTTTCTGCTGGTTTCGAGATGGACCCCGTAAGAGGCAATGGAAAAGAGCACCTTGGTAATTTTACCATATACCTTGGGGATATCGCTCACTCAAATCTGACAGAGCTGCAGAAGAGGCATGAATCACATGTTGAAACCAGTTTCCAGACATCGCAATGCTGTGCTTTCGTTCAACGGTAGATGCGCACAGGAATGTGGTTGGCATGTACTGTACCTAGGTCGAGACAGCAGGCGTTGGACTGAACAGACATAAAAAACCCCAAGATTGACCAAAAGTCTACGCTGTAGACGACAGAGGCGAACGAAGATGTTGCTGGAGAGTCATCTGTAAACTCATAGGGACGCAAAACCGGAAAGAGGAAAGATAGTCTTCACCACCAGGCTAACACCCAAACATCTTCGTCGTGCTGACGTTGATCCGACTCCACTCCTGGCCTGTGACCAGACACTGCAAGAACCGGCTCGGCCAATACACATGATACAGCATGAAAAACGGCACCGGATCCCACACCGCGTAGCTTCCATCTCGCCAGCACACAAGATGATACCAAAACGTCTCAATGCCGCGTTTGACCTCCGCAAAACTTCCCTGACCAGAAAGTAGCACAAGAATCGGGAGAATCAGCAGGGTGACGAGATCATGTCCGATCCAGTAATGACTATGCCTGGGCTGTCTGGGCACAACAAGTGGCTTACGCAGTGATAGCTCCGACTCGAAGCAAGAGAGGTATGCATCCGCCATCGCAGCCGTATCCTGGAACAGGACCACCGCCGTATGCGCGCGCGGGTTGCACTCGATCGGGTATAATCTCACGTCCTTACCCTGGCCCTCGACAAGAAAATCGAAGCTCAAATGGCCGGTGAAATCCGTTCCGCCGTCTTCAGCAACGCGCTTTGTGAATTCGAGCATCTTCGTGTTGAGGGTTGAGTTCGGGGGGAGGGGCTCGTAGTGCATGAGCAGGTCGGAGGACGGACAAGACACAAAGGCCTTGACTTCCCCGCGGACGACCAGGGAATGCGTGCAGTATTCAGGACCGTTGATAAATTGTTGGAGGATGTAGGGGTTTTCTGGCGAGATATTCAACGTGGATAGGTAAGAGGAGGTGGATTTGGGCCCAGTGGACAAGGGCAGCAGGGTCATCATCTGGCTCCGGGCCTTGTCGTCCACCCCAATTGGTTTCAAGATGAATCTCTTGCCCTGTTCTTGAGTTTTCTCATTATCCTGTGGTGCCGAGGCGGCGAGGATATCCTCGACCTGCGTCACCGACGTACAGCGATGAGACTCCGGAACTAGCAGCCCGAGACTTCGAATATACTCGACAAAGGCATCCTTCTCGTGCAGTTTACCCACCACGTCCCTGTCGAATTGAACAGCGTGAAAGCGCTTCCCCCTCTCCTGCTGCGCGGATCGCATCACCTCGCCATCTTCGACTGCGCCCACGACGCTGCTGCAGCTGATCCACAGCTGAACGCTCTCGCTGCGTATGACGTCAAGCAGCGAATCGACGTATGGTTTAGGATTCTCGCCCTGCGGCGGTGTCAGACGATAGAATTCAGCGATCGATCGGGAATATCGGCCTGGGGATGTGAAAGGAATGGGCTCAGTGTCGGCGGCGATGATGCGGTGCGGCGTGTGTTTTGCGAGGAGACGGGCGATGGTCAGCCCTTTGGTCATGGAAATCCCCGTCACGAGGATGGTTTTGCCGTGGGAGGTAGGAGATAATCTCGGCTGGGTGGCAGCATCTTTGGAGACATAGGTAAAGAGGAGGGAGACGAGAGTGATGGTGGCAGAGATTGGGAGACAGAAAAGGCTGAGGAGAACGAGGAGGAAGTTCTTCGGTCCGTGGCGGTGGAAAATAGCCATGACGGGAAGGAGCAGGCGTGATGGCCGCGTGCGGGAAAATACTCAATGCTTGGGTGGTGGACGAGGCTTTGCTCATATACCTGCAGTGGCTACTTTGACCGTACACTGGCACTGATTTATCTACCAACACATCACGTCATAGTGACTCTTGGATGTGCCACAATTTTTTTCGAGGTTGCGACCGATGCAACAGGAAGTATAGAAGCTGGAATGAAGTGTTACGGATAATGTATCCGACAGGCACATGCATACGCAGAACCCAACTACTCTGGTTCATGAATATCGGATTTGAACTACAGCAACTATTGCTTCTCCTCGCCCACACATCTACTAATCTCGACTCCATCCTATACTTGCGTTAGTCCATGCTGTTGAATCGTGAATGGTGGCTTACCGGCACTCCAGTGGGCTCAAAGCTATGCACCAACTGGCTTTCATACACCAGATTCGGATTGCCCGGACTCTGATTGAACTTCATCTCACTGTAGCGTTTCTTGTACTGATCCACAGTCACCCCGGGAATGCCCTCACTCTTCGCTGTCTCTCCAAGCTTCTTCCTCTTTTCTTCGACACTGCTCCTGACATACTCCAGATACGGTGGGTTCCCAGGCTTGATGACGTTATCGGCCGCAAGGACTGAGCCCGGGGTGATCAGCTTCAACTCCTCGCAGAGTTTCAAGTCCGTCGTGTACGCCGGTTTGTAGTGATCCAGGAACATCAGGTCGATGTGTTTGAGCAGGCCCTGGGTATGCAGACGCGCAACGGAGGCGTCGCTGGAGCCGACAATCACTTTGACGATGTCCGAGAGACCGGCGAGATCGACCAGCGACATGATCACCGCTGCAAATTCGGGATTCATCTCCAGGCTGTAGTAGCGGTGGCCGCCCGCTTTCCGGACGGCGTTGCCGAACAACAGGCAAGAGTAGCCAACATAGCCTCCGAGTTCGACCTGCGAAAACCGTCAGCGCATCTGAAATTCTACCGATGTTACTGGGGAACGTACCATTATCTTTGGTTTAACCTCAGCGATCAGATCGCAGACGATCCGGCCCTTGTCCTCCCCCACATTCATCAGGTATTTCTTTGTTCGTCCATATTCATCAATGGCCGCGAGCACCTTCTCCGGTGAACCTCGGATGTTCTCCAGGTCTGGATGCGAATACACAAAGTGGAGGAGCTCGATCTCGCGACCGTCGTCGAAAAACCCCGTCCCCTCCTCTTGTGGTGCGTATGCTTTTGCCTCGTCGAACTTGGTCATTCTGTCGTGTGCTTCGCTCATTAGCACTGAAACCTAGCAGCCACGCGCGCGTCAGACCTATATGGGATTTTCTACAAGAGTGCGCACCAGCGCATCCATGATCCCGTGGTGACGAGATAAATTTAGCCCACGATGCAGCAGTGCTGATGCACCCGCAAGCCGGATTGGTGCTGATGGCAGTCTGCAAACAGGAAATCCAGGTAATGTCAAGTCATGGACCGTGCTCCAATCTGCAAGGGGAAAAGTACGACATTCCAGACCCTGCTTTGGGGACCAGCCAGGGTCCACGGGAGGGACAACAGGGTTTATGCGTGGGTCCCGATCCATCCCGATCGCTCGATAAGCGCCCGATGGTATTAACGAGTGTTGACGTGGGGAGTACCGCATTGAGTTCTTGTCGTCAACGACTCGGAGTCTTGGATGGTCTTATCAAGGTTAGATGCCCCTGTTGTGCAACCTTATCGCTGCAGAAGCTGAAACTAACTCCGGAAACGGCGTCAGCTCTTGCGCAAACCGGCTTAGTGGACCCACCGTCAAGGACTATGTCATGCATACCTATGAGACTCTCCGATCTCCATGATGAGACTCAACCTCTCAATTCGCCGAGTTGGGCCGATCGATCACTTCAAGGTTCTCACATTGGGTTCAGTTCCAAGTTGACGTGATCAGGGTGTGGTCGTAGCGTAGGACCCTGTGCGAGGGGAACGTGTTCCGTCTCGCAAGCTGAGTGGAGGAGGAGGACTTGCTGCACCAGATCCGTTATATATTCCTCGATCTCCATGTAGAACCCTAGACACTATCAAGTCTCTCAACTAGGTTCCGGTTGTGCTTCAGATTCAACACCTACAACCATGTCAGACCTCAAGGCTACGGTCTCCGAGACCAAGAACGGCTTCCACGTCGAGGGTTACGAGAAGATCGAGTACGACTTCACCTTCCTCGATGGCGTCTTTGACCTCCAGAATGCCCAGTTGGCTGGTCTCTACGAGCGCTGGGGCCGTTGCTTGGCAATCATGGACAAGAACATCTATGATTTGTACGGAGATCAGATGCAGAAGTACTTCGAGCACCACGGCCTGGAGTTGAAGATCCACCAGACCATGATCGGTGAGAAGGCCAAGTCGTTGGAGACATTCACCAACATCGTGGACTCGATGACCGATTTCGGGATTATCCGAAAGGAGCCCGTGCTGGTAGTGGTACGTTGAGTATCTCCAATGATGGCGATGAATGCAATGCTGACATATGTAATAGGGCGGAGGATTAGTGACTGATGTTGCCGGGTAAGGTTTCTGGATCACTCACACAAACCAACCGCTAATCCGTCCCAGCTTTGCCTGCGCCGCCTACCGCCGCAACACAAACTACATTCGCATCCCCACGACGGTCATTGGTCTGATCGACGCCAGCGTCAGCATCAAGGTGGCGGTCAACTACGGCAACTACAAGAACCGGCTGGGGGCGTACCACGCGCCGATGCACACGTTCCTGGACTTCGGGTTCCTACGCACGCTGCCCGAGGCGCAGGTGCGGAACGGGTTCGCGGAGCTGATCAAGATCTCGAGCTGCGCGCACCTGCGGACGTTCGACCTGCTGGACGAGTTCTGCGAGCGGCTGATCGCGACCAAGTTCGGGCGCTCGCACGACGAGACGGGCGAGGTCAAGCGGGCGGCCGACGAGATCAACCGCAACGGCATCTTCGAGATGCTCAAGCTGGAGTCGCCGAACCTGCACGAGATCGGGCTGGACCGCGTGATCGCGTACGGCCACACCTGGTCGCCTCTACACGAGGTACGTATGCTGATCCCTCATCTTGGCTCCCTTAGCTAACAACACTCGCAGCTGGCACCCCCCGTGCCCCTCCGCCACGGCCACGCCATCTCCATCGACATGGCCTACTCGGCCACGCTGGCCAACATCCGCGGCCTGCTCAGCGACGAGGAGCACCGGCGACTGCTCAACCTCTTCTCGCGGGCGGGGCTGTCAATGGACCACGAGCTCTTCCACGAGGAGATCCTCGACAAGGCCACGCAGGCGATCCTCAAGACCCGCGACGGGCTGCTCCGCGCCGCCGTGCCCAGCCCGCTGGGTAGCTGCAAGTTCCTGAACGACGTCACCAACGAGGAGATGTTCGCGGCGCTGCGTCGCCACAAGGAGCTGATGAAGGAGTACCCGCGTGAGGGCGCGGGCATCGAGGCGTACGTCGACGCCAGTGACACGGGGTACACGATCAACAACAAGCCCGTGGACCCGCAGATGCACGCACAGAAGATGGCCAACGGTGTAGACGGCGAGACCAAGATGAACGGCGACAAGAAGATCAACGGGGTTGTCGACGAGAAGAAGAACGTGTTCAGCGACGGGGTCATCAATGGGTTCCGGCAGATTGCTGCCAACGGGTACCCGAATGGACTGCGCAATTAGAGGATAGACGGAGTTTTCAGATGCATTAGAAATCAACGGAGGGAGTTACTGCGTAATTAGTCTAGGTAGCTATACGGTAAATACCTAATAATGATAAAACCGCCCGAAGACGTGGCGTTTCATATTCTCAGCTTCTTTTACTACTATTACGCGACGATCATTGATAAGAATATTAGCAGCGTCGTGATCTTCGAGAAATGAACGCATACGAAGCGCCACTATGCCCGAGCGATCCTAGTTTGGCAAGTTTGCACCGGTCCCCCCTCCTTCCCCACATCAGTGAGAAAATCGATTGCATGATGAGCATGTACGATGCAGAGATCGCTCCATTAGTTTTATACAATTAAATCGAAGCTCCGTATCACCCTTTGAACACCAATCCAGAATCCCAGATAACATGCAGCACAATATCAATGGACTAGGAGGCTTGTACCAGTTGCGCCTAATTGTTGTACAATACCCGGGGTAGCTGTACCCAGTACCTCCGGCCTCCACTGATTCGACGGGCTTTCAATCCGTCTGCCCACGCCATTCGTAGCTAACTCTCGCTCCGTTGATAATGTATATAGTCAGACTGTTACAGCTTGGGGAATAAGGGCTCCCCAAGGATTAGTCTTGCAATCGATGGCTAGTTGCTTTTCTTACCTGACCCCCGGCCGTCTACTCCGTTATAGTAGATGTTGACACTAATTCTATTCAAGCTATAAGGGGTAGAGGCTCTCCATTCCTAGAAACAGCTAATAAGGCGTTTGTTATATTTAGACAGGCTATCTTCTGACTATGAGATATACTTTCTATTATTCTTCTAATATTAGCTCAAATACTACTGAATTTTTTGACCTTTTAAATATTCTCTTCAACTGAAGTACTGGGTCTGCGCTGTGAAATACTTCTAACCAGTCTTTGAGAAAATTTGAGAAGCAGTTCAGGCTTGCTATTATGTGAAAGTCCAGCTTGTTCAGAAAGCGAGATATATATTCTTCCTTCTCAGGATCAAGAAAATCGTGGCTAAGAATTCTTGAATGGTCAGATTTCATCACCTTGATGATATACTGAAGAATAGCAATACAGGTACTGTAAGTAGTAAGAAACTGTTAACTAGAATTATAATCACACGTGGCAGGGTCTTCTACCTAAGTGGATGATCCATTATGATATGGCTTAACAAATAGACGTCAGCGCCGTGAAGCGGTTACAGAGAATATATGTTATATACCTGCTATTAGATTCGTCCTGTAACAAATTCAGGTATATTTATAGTCTAGGCGCTTTCAACAACGCTGCCAAGGTCTTGTACTATGAAGGATATACAAACATACTTCCTTCCTAGTCGGATTGATTACTGCCCTTTACTACTCCTGATATCTATTATCTGTGTATCTTGTTTCAAGGCGTCGAAGGGGTAGATGCTCTCCATAGAATCGTCGAGAGGAGTGTTGTAATATCCAGCCATGGCGGTCGCGAAACAACCCCCTTATTTCAGATCTATAGAGTTATAGTACTCGTACAAGGTCTTGTCAGCTGTATCAGTAATTAGTATAGTACTTTAGTCATTTGAAATCCTAACACACCATAAAGGTCAGCTGGAATGCTGCCTAGCGATAATTATCTGCTATCTGAAAGTTGGACTGCGAGAGAGTTCACGAGAGATGAGCTCCCGTTATAAACCCGTTATCAGTCCTATTCCTTAGAATGGTTCACTTTTAGCCTTACTATTGAAGGACTTACAAGTAATCAATAATTAATAAGAATTCAATATACAAAGGGTGTATTGAGCGACAGTTATGACAGTATACATGTGATTTAACTTCATTAAAAATGAATCGCTTTATATATTGCCGCATTACCCTTTTCTGAGAAATGTTAGTATGGTACACTCCAGCGCAACGCATCAGGGACGTTATACTGATCAGATTTATAGAGTCGCCAGTTCTCTCAGTCAGCTGTAAGAGTGAAATCGCCCCCGGTGCTTGGAGGACGTGATGATGGATCTTCATTTCCAGAACAAGTGAGAGCACCACGCTGTCAACATATCCCCATGCAACATTTGCAACCCATTCATGTGGTTCAGTCAACAGAGCTGTCAACTCTTGACATGCATCAATGACCTCCTGAGTCTGACTTTGTTCTTTACCCGCCAGGGTACCAGAATCAGATTGTAGAACATCCCGAACTGCGCTGGGTGCATTTTGCGAGATGAGGGAGGATAGAGCTTCCACTCTCGCATCAAGATTGTGGGTGATTGTCATTGCTTGCATTATTGTCACTGCAGCTGTCACTGGCTGCCTACACACTTCTTGCGGGCCCTATTCAAGTTCCGGCACCCTGTCGACCATATTACTGGTCCTGAAAAGTTGTGCGGTCATCTTGTCTCAGTATACATCTTTTCAACGACGCTTTGGTATTTTAAGTGTAGTGGTTGAGAGCATAATAGCACGTGAACTGTTAGATCAACTCGCACAGTGCGTCAAGAATAGTGTCTCCCTAGAGGCAGCTAGCAAAGATAGCAAAAAGGGAGGGGGGGGGGGGGGGGGGGGGGGGGGGGGGGGGTGTTCCGAACTTGCTCGTGTGCTAAGAGCGCAATATCCAGTCCTACTGGCCGTCGGCGCTTCTCGGGGCGGTCATATTCCGGCTCTAACAACCTGGACCCACTGTGCCTACCTTCAATCCACCGTCGGCCAGCCACAGCAGTAGGTGTTCACGGATTGCCTGCAGGACAAAACACACGCCAGATCTTTTTTAAAGGTTTTAATTATTTTTCTCGCAAGTTGTACTAGCATTTATCGAGCGTATCGATATTTAGGTATGTGATCTTTAATATTCGATCCTCCAAGGTGTCTGTAAAAAAGCCAGGATAAGGCACATTATTTTGAATCGTCGAATAGCAGTTTATCTAGTTAATTATGATTTTTATACATACGTGATGTGATATACGCCACTTTGATAAGACAGGCTTTGCAATGGGCCTAGTTTCCTCACAGAAGGTAGTAAAGCGAGCGGCGTTTTGCGGTCGGAGATGTTTCGTACAGCCAGGACACCGCGGATGGGTTTAATGCTGTCGAAGCAACTTGCGCAGATGGCTATTCGCGACCTCTCATTCTGATTTCCTTGGCCAAATTTACAGTAAACAGTCAGAAACTTATCCGTGCCAACCAGAACCCCTCGCAGGGGTCAGTTCTCCATACAAACAAACCCACGGCGGGTGCTCGGAGGAGAAAAGACTGCACGTTGTTTTCCTCTCCTTGGCTGCATCTTAACAGTATTTGTCACCATTGGTCGAGGGTTCCACAGTTTCGGTCTGTGCAACGCGCTGGCCAGGCAAACCCAAAAACCCAGGAATCCACCGTCAGTAATCAGAATTATCTTATCCGGGGGTCTACTGAAAGGACTGATAAAGTGTGCCACAATGGATCCATGAGCCTTTGACCAAAGGCATCACGAATATATCGCTGTGACTCTGACAACAAAGTCGGGACAGCCAGGGTATCTGAATTTGCAGAGCAACCATTGAGGAAAGGGAGGGCGGCCACGTTTTTATTATAGTGAAGGGGCAGGGCGCGTGGAAAAGACACGCAAAAATCGCATCAGAAGGCAGGCTGTCGTTGCGGCTGCCCGGGAGGTCCGTTCTCGTTATAACCAAAACTGATGGATGCATATTGTCATTGCATCATGGATGTACTCCTCTTTCAAGTCGCTTCTATGAGTAAGAGACAACTCTCTTCCTTCCGCCTATGCATCTTCCAACACAATGCGGGCCGCACCTTCGCTGTTAGGAGAGCATAAATTAAAGTCTGATTAGCTGGTTTGGCGCCACTGGTCTCTGATCCCTTCTAAACAAACAATGGGACCGAGCTCAGAATATGTCAAGTATAATACAATAGCAGTACCAATTTCGATGCTACTTACTAGGTGCCAAGTCTATCGAATGTCTACATTCATGAAAGCTTGCGATTACATATAGGACTACCGAGGAATATTCTGCCGTTTCCGGCTACAAAGTACTGCGCAGTTTTTTTCTTCGTTATCGTGACTTGTGCAAAACCGTGGATCAGATATAACTGTCCCGTGGCTCGGGCCGGTTACCTACCTACGCCAAGACCTTCCGTTTTCGTGACGATAATCTGTGTGTGTGCGGCGCACAAGAAACATTTACCCACGTGCTAGTGGACTGTCCAGAATTAAGGGGTACCCGAAGGAAGTTACGGAACGAAGTAGGAGACGGGTTTAGCAGCGTCTCGAGTCTGCTGGGAGGCTCAACCGAAGGTGAGAGAGGTAACCTAGACACCGTCTCGCGGGCTAAGATGGTCACGGCCGTGCTAGACTTCGCTGAGGCGTCGCAACGGTTTTGGAGTCGCGCGCCAGGAGGGCAGCCTAACAGTGGGAATGGCAATTAGGCCACGGCAGGACTTGACGAGGCTCTAAGTTCGTTTTTCAGGAAGCGGAATACTCTACTTGTACGTACGCGGATACATATAGTTGTTGTAGCCTGCATATCGCTTTTTATTACGAGGGGTCAGGGTAAATGACATCATCCATCCATCCACCCAGCTGTATGCAAGTCACATCTCATCACGTTTAAAACTTCAGAACCTGCATTGGACAATTTCGAAGGGGAGTCTGCATGACAAAAGTACATACATGAAGCGCAGATTACATGCACAATCATGACAACTCAAACTCGAGTGAGCCAACATGTGGATCTCATTTACACTAACAGCCAAAAATCTCGACCGTCTGGCATTTGCAAAGGACAAAACAGGGCATATCTGTATTGATACTTTCCCATCATTATCTATCCTGCGCTTTAAGCATGCAAAGCCAACTCAGTCGTTGCTTGCATTTCCTATATATGGGTGGGGATATTCATTCAGAAGGACCCAGAGCATTGATGACCCTTACGGGTAGTCAGCTCTTGCGGCTAGATACGCCATCTCTGCAGCGCAGCGGCAGGGAGCAATTGAATAGCATGTTTCCAAATCGAATTGACGCAAAGACTTCATTCTACCAGACATGATCTTTCATGGATCGCCCACTTATGCTTATTGTACCAAGGCAACGCATTGTAGCTGCACTCGGAATGCAGAAGGTAACTGTAACACTACCCCATTTCGCATAATACTACAGTTTGTAAGGGTTTTAGTAATTAGCAGAAGCGTATCCCCATAGCGAAGAGAACTCGAGACTGTACCGCCCAGGAGACGGATAAATAACCCTCAGGTAGTGGTATACATATATATAGGTGCCGTCAATTCTCAAGGTCCTCGAGTTTGTCTCTAACCCAGTAGCCTACATTGCTATCTATTCGAGCATTACAGTGACTATCTTTCAACCTTGAATAATTATGTCTGAAGACTTGAAGAAATTTTATGCTGAGTTTGTGCTCCAAACTAAGTCCAAATGATGTTGCCTTGTTCAGTAACATGCGTCTTCTCAGAGTCGATAAGCTCGCAGATGCCGAGTTTATTGACAAAAGTAAATGACTCTATTTTTGATATTTGAACTTGTATCCCACACCGACTTTAGGACTGGCTACGGCTATTTCCCACCAGTCGATTTCGAGTGAGGCAAATAAGCGCCCAGATGTCGTGAAGGTAAGTAATCAATCAGTGGCTGAGCAGATATGGGTATGCATTTTCAAAGGCTGGCATCCTTTCCAGATGGAAAAGTTCCTGGAGGTAGAGCTGGGCAGTAAATTCGGTGCCGAAGTGCAACCATATTGCACGGGCAAGCAAAAGAAAAAGCAGCCAACAGACCCAGACCTCGATCTGCCGCCGATTCTTGTTGCCTGGTACCCCCCGAGAAACAGCGCTTCAAATGACAAGAAACCCCTTCTCATCTACGGCCACTATGATGTTCAGCCAGAGTTGACCGGTTAGTCGTACCCGGCCTTTACGCTTACCAGAGTCCAAGGCCCTAATGGGGAGCGACTATATGGACGGGGCTCTACTGATGACAAGGGACCGGTTTTGGGATGGCTAAATGCACTTGAAGCCCACAAGAGTGCCGGTGTCGAAATTTCTGTCAATCTCATCTTCTGCTTTGAAGGCATGGAAGAGAGCTCGTCGGAGGGATTCACTGCTTTTCTTGAGAATATGGCAATGATCTCTTTAAAGACGTGGACGGAGGTGTTATTACCGACAACTACTGGAATACCGCCAAATGCCCATGTCTGATCTATGGGCTTCGAAGCATCAACTACTTCAGGGTCACCATCACGGGCGCCCCCAAGCAGCTCCATAGCGGCATCTAAGGAGGCGCTGTTGCCGAGCCCATGACAGACCTGTTTAGTCTTTTTTCGAAATTAGTCAATAACGAGGAAAGATTCTGATACCTGGCATCAATGACCAGGTAGAACAGCTCACCGGAAAAGAGAAGGCACTGTACAAGAAAATCTGTTTCAAGTTGAAGGATTTCACCGACGCAATCGGCGATACGAAAGTGCCACTCTACCAGGACCCAATTGACATCATGATGCACCGGTGGAGATATCCATCGCTCTCGATCCACGGGATCAACGGGGCGGATGCAAGCGACGACCCAGGCACGGCAATCCCGAACAAAGTGACAGGCGCGTTCTCCATCAGAACCGTGCCGAATATGGATAGCAAAACCGTCAATGACACGGTGACAAAGTATCTCTAAGACGAATTCAAAAAGCTTGGCAGTAAATGTCAAATCAGCATAGGGGTTTTCCCCGAACACGTTCCATTCTGGAGGGCCAACTACGAGGAGCCCAATTTCGCAGCGGCTGCCAAAGCCACCAACGAGCTTTACAAGACTGATCCGGACTACTCCCGAGAGGGAGTAAGGTTAGTTTCAACTCAAAAGGCCGATTGAGATTGCTTACTGGCGTTCGAAGTATCGGTGTTGCATTGTAGCTCCAGAGTCTTCTGGACAAAAAGAGTCTTCTGTTGCTCCCGATGGGTGCGGCGGATGACGGACCTCATGGGCCCAACGAGAAAATCGACAGAAGAAACGACATCGAGGGAACGAAGCTGTTTGGTGCCTACTGGCACTTCTTTGCTGGGAGGATTTTGCGGGTGCATTCCATACTTATTTTGCACCAGATGGTGATAGAAATGACGAATTGAAACCGATTGATTTGGATGCATGCTATCATGACTTTCTATGGCTTCTCTGTTAAGCTATATTTGATTCCTAGATATTCTTGTTTTTAAGGACTACTATTTGCCTTGTGTAGAGATATCGTGTAGGTAGAGGTAGGTGGTGACAACGAAAACGACCATTCTCTTCCTCGGGCCCTCGAATACCATCATGGAACGTCATAGATGTGTTCTAGGCCGACATGGACGTGACAGCGTACCCCGTTTTCGCGCCGCAACTATTGCCCAACTCAACAACCTGCACGGGAATGGGGAATCGATGAGGTTCAGCTCAAGCTGTCATGGTGAATATTCTCCACCAGACCCCTCATGCTGCATGAAATAAACAGTTAATCTTCTCCGACTGCAACTTCCACCGAACTAGGTTTAGTGTGAGTTCACCCCTCCAACCCTCTCCACATGACACTCTGTCTCCATGGAAAGATTTATTCCAATTTGCTTTTCCTCGACTTCTTCTTAATCCGATTGGTTGTTCCACCATCTTATTGTAACCGTGTATGTTGAACTTGAAGCAGTGAATTGTACATCCAGGTGGAGAGGAAACCTCATCCTTTGGATCAACATTTGTCACCCTTGCCTCTCTTCCCTGTTCTTCGTATTCATTTTATTATCTAGAAGCAGTCGATCATTCTTTCCTGAGGTTGTCATGGAGAAGGCTGCCGATTATTCCGGAGAGTTAATTTTGACACCACCGCCGTTTTCGAGATGTTACACAAAACACACATCAACACATACCCGTCAACAGTTCCTCACTTTTTTCTACGCCTCATTGCGTGAGCGGTGTACGAGAATACATGAGTCTCGTCATGTATGAATTTCGTTCCTTGGTCGAGTGTCAATTGTGCGGTGCCTGCGTCGGGCGGAAAGCAATGCAGCTTCCCCGTCCTTCCGTACATGCAGGTTGCGTTTGATTTGTCGCCGCAAACTACACACTGCATGAGTAACCGCAGCCAGCCGGCCACAATATCAGTGTCAGACTTGTTGCATCTATCGCCATCGATGCAAGAAAGAAAATGGCCCAGTCCGTGGTTATGCTCTGCATCTACATCATGACCCATCCAGTCACTCAGCTGATGTCGACATTGTGGCCTTGATTCTCACTGTCAATGTGCAATTTACACGAGATGCTCGGAGGATGAGACTGCTGTCTAGAACAGATGACGCCGTAGGTGTGACGTGACCACCAACCTGGCGCCGTTTTCGATGGTCAATATTATCTATAAAAACCTCCTTCTCTCCGGGCTTGTTCTGCCATCCAGACTGAGACATTACAGTTCATCATCCAACTTCTTTCCCCGTGAAATTTACGCTTCTCTTTATCCAAGAAATCTTTCCTTGGACTTGCCCATCATGACTCCTTCCAAAGACACCAATCTGGAGAAACCCGTCACCTACACGCCTAAACACCCCATTGTTCAGGACCTGATTGATTTTATCAATCGGCGGACCCCGATTTACAATACTCAAAAAGCGAGAGAGGGGCCTCTTCCCCTCAAGGTGGATAGATTATTTTTATTCAACTGGGCCATTGCAGACGCAGTTGCTGGGGGCGAACAGGAAATGAAGGCTGAGGGCATCTCGGATCTGGATGGCTATCTCAAATTTGTCGACCATCTCGTTGAGTGGACTCCCATAGTCAGCTCCACGGGAGACGAAGTCCTGAGAAAGCTCCTTGTGTTCTACTGGCCATTCAACCAGCAGGCACTCAGCGACCTTCAAACTCCAATCGCGCCTCAATTCACCAATACCGATTTGAGATGGCTTTCTTACTGGCTTGTTGCGTTTGCGCGCCGATTTGGCGAGTACATGGCCACACCTGAGTCGGTTGGAAATATTTGGAGTTTCTACACCAGTCAGACATATGGGCAAGGCCCTGGTGATGCAGACAAAGGCACCAAGTACGACAAGGGAGATCGCTACAAGCAGTGGAAAATTCCCGAAGAAGGAGGTTGGAAATCTTTCAATGAGTGGTTTTCACGAGAATGGGCCGATATCGACTACTCCCGGCCACTCGATGGAGAGGGTGATGATAAAGTCATTGTCCAGGGCGCAGATTCGGTGTTCAACGGCCACTGGAACATTGAGAACGGGTCTGTCCATATCGATCCGGCTGATGTTAAATCCGCCGAGGTGACTGTTGATATCAAGGGTATCACATGGCCCATCAGAGACTTGGTCCGATCCATCAGCGAGGATACGCCGTATAGCAACGGTAGCTTCACGCACGCTTTCCTCGGCCCAACCGATTACCACCGTCAGCATGCCCCTGTGGAAGGAAGAGTCGTCGAGGCCAAGAATATCCAAGAACAAGTTTACCTTCAAGTCGCCCAATCCAAAACCAAGGATGGCAAAACGACCATCTACCCCGAGCGAGGTATTGTCATCAGTCCCCAGGAGCAACAGCGACGATCGGTCAACACTTCGAACCTTGAGAAGAAAACCAATTCCGAGAGTCAAATGGATCTTCTCGCGCTGTATAGGGAGATCAATAACCTCGAAAAAAATCAGTCCGAGCAGCCTGCTGCCAACGGTCCGAAACCTGACGCCGGTATCACTGCACCCGACCACGCTGGTTATCAATGGTGCCAGACTCGTGGCCTGGTTGTGATCGACACCAGCTACGACAGCAAAGGCAACAAAAAATCCACTGACAATGGCTTGGTTGCGGTCTTGCCCATTGGAATGGCCCAGGTTTCCTCGGTCGTTCTCACTGTGAAAGAAGGCCAGTTCTTGGAGAAGGGACAAAATATTTCCTACTTCCAGTTCGGCGGCTCTGATATCGTGACGGTCTTCCAGAAACGACCTACCTACCGGAGTGATCTTCAAGCTGGCAAGACCAAGTTGCACATCCGAGAAAAGGTCGCTGAGTGGAAGTGATGAGCGACATACAAAGATGATGTGGGATTGATTCTCTGCTTGAAGCAACCTCTGGAGCTACTTGACATGATCATGCTTTATAGGTAGACTGTCATCCTGCGAATTACCATTTGACCCATTGCCTGAGTGCAATGATTCATTCGTTAGTAATGAAATGCAGCTCATCTTCTTGCCCACTGTTCTCGATGTAGTGGGCCGAAGCCTTGTTATGTAATCCATAGACATGTACAAAAAGAACTCGTTGAAGAGGCAAGTCTCTTTAGTAGGGCGACAGAGTCTTATCATGAGACGAAGACAGAGTCCTTACTTCTGCGCCCAGAGCGTTGGCTCATAGAATGCCGAAGTAACCAAGATCATCGCTGCATATCATGTCAGCATAGATATAATCTATCGAGTATCTATCGAGTATTCCATGGGTTGATTTCCCAGCTGAGAGATACCAGATACGTCTGGGTAGTAGAAGAATTGCTTCGTGTTCGGTCAAGTAAAGTATGAAGAGGAACAGTGTTTCTCTCCGGAGATCAATGTCTAGTGAATCCGATAACAATTTTCGAATCAGTTAGCCTGAATCATCAGCAACGGATCAATTCGGGATATATCAGGTAGACAGTAGAATTATATACTAGACCCACTATCTTAAGTTTTTTAAAGCACTATCCAATAATAAATATCATTATCTATCTAAAAACTACTAGAATTACCCTAACTTAAAGTACCTCTTATATTAGTTATAGGTAATAATAGTTAAGGAAGTGGCTAAATCTACTTCATCTTATTTTATTATAAAAATATTAAAAGATTAGATTTTATTATAAATTTCTTTTAAAAATATTTTCTAGCTAAGTATAATTATAAAATTTATAGTAAAAAACTTTTGTTATTATTTATTATTTTAGGAAAGATATTTTAAATTTAAAGAAATCTTATCCCTAATTTAAGTTATAATAAATAATTATCGAGTATTATTAATCTATGAAAAATCTTTTTAACAAAAACTTAAATTAATATTATTAGTACTTAAAAGTATATTAATATTCAGAAGATTTAAATTAAATATAAAATAATTATTAGGATAAGACTAAATATTTTTCAAAGATTTGAAAGATAATAGGTATACTAGTAAAACAGAATATATAACCTTAGTAATATATATTTTATTTAGGTTAAATAGTTATATATATAAACTTAAATAAGTTGTAAAGGGAAAAGGTCAGCTAGGTATAGAATCAAAGTACTGGTATTGTATAGATATAGACTAATTCTTACCTTCCTAGAATATAGTAAGGCCTGGATATTTAAGATATAGATTCTACTAAATTATTAATATTATAATTATTTTATAACTAAGATATAGATATTCTATTATAGTAATTACTTAATTATATAAATTAACTATAATAATTTAGTTTTTTTTTAATAACAGTTATTCTTAGCTATAAAATAGTAATATAATACTACTAATTTAATAGTTAAATTAATTATTTTTATAGGTACAGTAACTGATAACAGAAAATAATAATATTAATTTATATTAAATTAATATATTTCTAATAGTATTTTTTTATTTTAGAAATATAATATTATTTTTATTATAATAATAATAATTTTTTTATATTTCTCTCTTTTTTTTCTTTTATTTTATTAATATTATAATTTTCTAGATTTTATTATTTTTTTATTATAAAATACTTATTTTCAAGTAATTTTTATTAGTAAATATTTATTAAAATATATATAAATATTATTCTATATTCTTTATTACTTAATAATACTAAGAAATTAATAGATAGATATAAAGTCTATTATTTATTATAATAATTATTTATATAAATTATTATCTTCTGTCCGCGGTACCTCTTAATCTAAAGATATTATTTTATTTAAAATATTTTAGAATCTTAGTAAAATAGTTTAATATAAAAATAAATAAATTATTTAAACTTAACTACTATTTTAATATAGTATTAAGTATAAAATATTATTAATATATTATAAGAAAAATTAATTATATTACTATAGATTTTTCTATATTAAATAAAAAAATTTAATTAATTATATTATAGACTACAGCTGGAATACTTAAAAATATTAAAAAATTAATAATAATTTTTAAGTAGTTTAATTTCTTTTAGTATAATAATAATAAAAAATAAAATCTTATTATTTATAAATTATACAGTTTTATTATATATTCTTTTACTGTAATATTTATAAATATAAAATATATTTATTATTTTAAATATAAATTAATAGTAGTTATTAAAAAGACTATAATTATAAATATTTTTTATAATTTAAATTAGCTTTACTAATAATTTAATAAAAAAATATAAATATTTATTATAATTAGATTAAATCTTATTATATTTTTATATTTTAAACTAGAATTAATTATAAATTTCTAGTATTTC